ACCCACACTTCACTCAATCTAATCTACAGTATTCGCTGCTTACAACGTAGTCTCGTCTACATTGGGGAAGTAAAAGCCAGACTGGGTGACCACTTTGCAGGACACCTACGTTGTTTCTGCAAAAAAAAAAAAACCCCGAACTTCCAGTTGCCTGCCACTTCATCTGTGTCTCAGACTTGCTGCGGTATTCCAGTAAATCTCAGTGCAAACTGGAAGAACAGCACCTCATTTTCTGCTTGGGATTTAATATCAAGTTCAACAATTTTAGGACTTGAGGTACCTTCTCCCATGTCCAAACCCAACCCCCACACACTAGGCCTTGCCATCACATAGGCTGCTGCCACACACAACCTGTTTTCAGCTTCTAATAGTGCCCATTAGCAGCTGTTCATTCTCTCAGAATGACCTTTGCCCACTCCTTTATATAACAACAACTTACATTTATACAGTACTTTCAATATAGTGATAAACCCTAAGGCATGTTGATTATCAAAACATTTTTGACACCAAGCCATTTAAGGTGATATTAGGATGGCTGGTCAAAAACTTGGAAAAAGAGATAGGTTTTAAGGATTGTCTTAAAGAAAGAGAAAGATGGAGAGGTTTAGGAACTGCTGAATAAAACCAATAACATCCCAGAATTAGAGGGGGCTTAGAATCATAATACACCTTGACTAAATCTGTCAACACATGAAAGGTTTTAGTATCTAGTGCCTCAGAGAAAGTTAGGCCCCTAACAACCAAAAATGCTGCGGGTCCACAAGCAGTCAGAAGTATTACTCATTACTTTTCATCTGCCCTGCTGTTTTTTGCCCAGAAAAAAAAATGCATTCTTTCCACATACTGGGCCCTGTCTTCGACAGCAGGATCGAACAAGTCAAGCTTTCCAAATTAAGGTATGATGCCAAAAATGCTTAGTCCAACTCAAGGACAGTTGCAAGTAAATTTTTTTCAGGGGCATGCAATTTTCTCTCCTTGCCACTAAAGTAACTGCACAGAGGCTGGTATTCAATAATCAAGTCACCCTTTACTTACATGTGCAACATACATGGACTCTGACCAACCAGCTCAGAGCCAGTCCCTAGAGAGAAGAGACGCTCTGAATTTCCTGTTTATATCTGTCAGCCAGGTCTCCCTGATTGGCCCAGGTTAACAATCCCATTCAGGGATTTCATACTTGATGAGTTCCACCTGGCCATCCTCATTCCAATCACCAGACACCAGACCATACAGGGATTACTGACCAATGAACATAGGGTGTTAGGTGTTTGGAAACTAGGATGAGTTAGGATATGTACAGCAGTGTTTTGCATAAGCTAAATTTCATATAAGAAGGACTGAAGAAAAGACTGTTTTTCTATTTCATTTTAAATATAGGAACATCAAAACTCCATTTGTAGTAAATGGATGGAAATTGATCTATCAATGTTCCATGGCATGATGGTTGGTTTTCCTATTCAAACTAGACTGGATGAATCTCTAAATGTTAAATGAAACACAGGACCGTGAAATCAAAATATGCATCATCCCTTTTTGCAAAAAACCTTTGCACTTGTAAAGTCACATCATGAAAAAGGCATGTTGTCTACATGATGCTTTACTGTGTCTTAATTTTGAAACCTTTCATTCCAGATTAATTTTTCCCCAGTAAGAAAACAGATTGAAGACAATGACATAGCAAATCTTTTGCGGAGCTATCGTCCTTTTGTTATTCAGTTGAGTCTCCGTGGATGCAGCAATATTGGTTGGGCGACTTTCAAAAGCATCAGTGAGTATATTTGTCAATTTACTCCACTGCACATTAATTTTTGCTTATTCTTGAAGAAGAGATGCCATCTACATAAACAAAGACCTGCATTTATACAGTGTCTTTCATGACCTCAGAATGCTCCAAAACGTTTTAATCAAATAATGCAATTTTTTAACGTGCAGTCACTATTGTAATGAAGGAAATGTGTACAAATTCACTGCTACATCAAGATCCCCACAAAATAACAACCTGGTAGTGATCAGATCATGTTTAAATGATTTTTTTACTGGCATTGGCCAGATAGAAGCCCTCTATGGTTTGAAATAGTGCCATAGGATTTTTCACGTTGAATTCAAAACATATCTGAGTGCAACATTTTGTTGCTCCATTGTCATGTCAAGCTTGGAGTTTGCACCCAAATCTTAAGGTAAGGACTCACACACACGGACTTCCAACTCAGAGATAAGAATGTTACCAACTGAGCCACACTTTATTAATATCAATCTTAGACTACAACAGTAATTAATTAAACACATTCAGACATTTTGGCTCAGATTTTCAGCTCAATGCCTGGATTGAAAATCCTCGTTTGAAGGAACAGCCTATCAGTCATGCACAATGATATACCCTACAAGTTCCCACTTTAATTTTGCTTTAATCTGTGATAAACAATCATGACTAGTGAAAGTCTAGTGTACAAACACTGAAAATAACAATGAGACAAGATTGTGACAAGCATTCATAATAAGTGAAGGTGTAGTTTCCAAATGCATATGTATTTTCAGATTTACAATTTTTTGTCTAATTTCTGTCCAGTGTGTATCATGGATAGAAATCAAATAAGTACTGATCAATAAATCAGTGCAATCCAGACGGCACAAATGTTTGCCAGATCAACCAAGGTATTTAAAAAGCGTAACTACTTCTAAATTTTATGCCTACTATAGTATGCCATTGACAATACAACTTTGGAAAACAAAATGGGCAACTATGTTGGTAAATAATGATATAGAACAACAACATTTTAAAAAGTTTAGAAAGCCCACCAGAAAAAATATGTTCTGCGAAAAGGAAAGGAAAAGCTAAATGCAATTGCGATTCCAGAGATGCATGAAAACGTAAGGGAACAATTAAGGACCAGGCATTAAATAGTTTTAAGGGATAAACAAGATAATACTATAGGTAAAAATAGAAGGCATAAATATTGACTGCTTACTTTGATTCAGTGTACAGCTGGACAAAAAAAAGGTACATATAACATTGTAAGATGAAAGGAGCAATTAGATTAGTACATTTAAGTTAAAAAAAAAGGGGATGTATTGCATAAACTAAACAATCTCAAAAAGAGTAAAACTTCTATCTGGACGGATTGCATCTCAATTATTTTGGAAGAATCTAACAAAGAATTACCAGAGGTATTCCTACTCATATTTAACTGTTTGTTGGCAGTGCCAGCAAATTGATG